CTGTTTGTTTTCTTCTCCCTACAACATGTGCACTCTCTTCGTCCTATATCCCATGTCCTGCTCTCCCTCTGTTTGTTTTCGTTTTATGACTACAGCATGCACACTCTTGACGTCTGCGGTGGTGAAGGGACGTGACTATCATACTTCCCGTCTTTGTGACATTCCGTGACTTAATGTGACACACGGGCATGTCGAGGCACACGAACATACACAAACACACTTCCTGACTGTGTCCGTGTCTGTGTCTGTGTGTGTCTGTGTGTGTCTTTCCTGCATGTCTGACTGTGTCTTTGTGTCCGTGTCCTCGTGTCTGTGTCTGTTCCTGTCTGCGTATGTCTGTGTATATCAGTGTACGTCTGTGTATGTCCGTGTATGTCTGTGTATGTGTATGTCCGTATGTCCGTGTCTGTGTATGTCCGTGTGTCCGTTTGATACAGGCGGACACACGGACATATACAGACACGGACATACGGACATACACATACACGGATATACACAGACATGCACTCCCAGGACACAGACGTACGCAGACAGGAACAGACACATACACGGAGACACAGACACACAGAGACAGACAGACACGGACACAGACACAGACAGACACAGAGAGGGACACAGACAAAGACACGGACACACAAACAGACACACACACACACACAGACACGGACATGTCCAAGTTGACTACTGCGTGCCGGATTCGTTTCGATGCCATTGAATCGAAGAAATTATGGCACCCAGTAGCCAACCCTCGTATGCGGACAGAGACGCACACGGATACACCGACAGACGCGGACATACAGACATACGGACACACAGACAGACACAGACACAGACAGACAAAGACACAGACAAACACGGACACAGACATACGGAGATATAGACAGACACTGAGACAAAAACAAAGACAGACACGGACACAGACATACGGAGACAGATGGTGACACAGACACAGACGGATACACATACATAGACACACACACAGACATACACAGACATACACAGACATACACAGACAC